AAGACAAATGACAACTTCTGATAAGCAATTCACAGGAATTTAAATCTATACTAAAATGACAGATTTTCAGATTTTTTAGCATATGAATTGACAACAACCAATTTATGCAATTAGCCATTTGAATTCGAAGGAATGGTAGAAAATTAGGTTTGAAAATGCTATGAAGCCACTAGCAAAAGATGGCATGCTCTTCGTCGTCGTCCATGGGGGTAGTGTTGCGCCCCCATAGTGGAGGAGGTTAATTCAAGAGAAGATACAAAGGAGACTACCATAATAATTCTCTTCCTCTACCCGATGGTGAATGGCAACAAGTGTTCTTGTAATTTTGCTTACCAAACTTGTCATTTGAGTTGCCATTTGTGTCATTTAATAGTGAAATGCAGAAATAATGATAATTCAAACCGAAACATTTAACAATCATAAATCCAAATGTCATTTCAGTTATACATAACTATTATTAATAGCTCATAACAGTGGCTACTCATTAATAAAATAAAATAAAAATATTAAACTATCGTAAATGCAGTAACAGTATGTATAATTTATCCATATTTTTCTATTGAAACCATCTACAGAGACTTCCTCTTTCTTTTGGTCTTCTGTCCCTTATCAGCTATTGCAAGTTAAGTATGGCAAATAACAAGTTAAGTATATCAAATAACAACTTAACTATTCTAAATAACAAGTTGAGTTTAGTAGATGACAATTTAAATATTACATATAACAAGTATATCAAATAACAACTTAATTATTGCAAATAACAAGTTGAATTTAGAAAATCACAACTTAAATATAATTTATGACAAGTTAAGTATATCAAATTACATCATAACAATACTATACTCACAGGCTCAGCACAGGAAAACAACCCGTATCAAATCGACAAACTAGTTAAGAGCAAGAATAATAAGGCTAGCAGGATAAGGAATTTATGATTAAAAAGTAGACAATTTCCAAGAAACAATAAGATAAAGCATAGCATATAGCATATCAAACTGAGATGTCAAGAATCATATCTACAAAAACATACTAGAGATTAGCGAGGGATGGGAAATGGATGGTAAATAAAAAGGGCTTCTTTGATTTGAGAGAAGGAAAGTGTCAGAAACATATCCAATATATATCAGGAAAGTCGAACACAAAAAAAGTGGCAAAGAATACCCCAAATGCGAAAAGCATCTACCATTGATTTTAAAGATTTGAGCCCGTCAACTTTAATGCCGTCATCCACCATGCTCAATCGAGTCACCCATCTGCTATTTAACCATTGTTGTATGGTTCGCACAGCACCTTCAAGAACGTCCCAGAGTCAGGTAACCAATCTCATGCCCACTAAGGTCGAAGAACAGGCAATGGCTGGAGATGAGGTTAAAGTGGCGAGCAAGAACAAAACCAAATGAAATCTGCGTCCTCTCCCCCGTCCCGCGGCATCGTCTCTTCTCTTAACTTCAAGCGCGACCTCAAAGAACAGAAATGGAAGATGACACAGAAGAAAGAAAATAAGAAGGGGTTTTTTTTTTTTTTGGTCTTTTAGGCTTAATTTCATAATTTCAATTAAGACTTGATCTCTAATAGCAATTTTATCAATTCAAGTACCCATTATACCATTTTATATATTCAAGGGTCTTTATTTGCTATTTTTCTTGATAAAATAACAAACAACCAAATATATATGGCTTTTGGTTATAACATAGAAAACCAAAATTTTATGGCTGCTAGCCATTTAATAAGATAAAACAAATCAATTACATATGGCTTCTGGCCATAAGATGAAAAGCCATACCTAAATAACTTCTAGTTATTTAATAAGATAAAATATTGAATATATATGGCTTCAAGCCATTTAATAAAATAGACAATTAAATATGTGCGTGTGCGCGCGCGCCTCTCTTGGCCATAAGATAAAAAGTCAAAGTTGTATGATTTTTAGCCATAATTATAGAAAATCAAAACCACATGACTTCTAGCCATTTAATTTTTTTTTAAAAAAAGCAAAATAAGAGTTATATAACTTCTGGCCATTTAACTTCAAGGGGATAAAAAATCAGAGTTATATGACTTTAGGCCATTTAATCTCAATAAGATGAAAAATTAGAGTTATATGGCTTCTGGCCATTTAACTTTAGATGGTAACCCTTTAAGAATGTTGCAAGTATTCATTGACACTTCAGGGTCCATCAAAATAGTGACGACAGGTCACTAAGGAATAGAGGAAAAAAAAAGTCTTCCCATCACAATTAGTTTGGAAGGTATAATATCCATATCAAAATTAAATTGTAGCACTAAAATATAAAAAGAAATCTCTAATCTTAACCATGGAAATTGATATATAAAACAGCAGTAAAAGATCTTTTTAATTCCATATAATGGCTTTGATTATCCTAGAAGATTGATTATAGATACAAATACTTTGAAACACTATATATACAATGTTCGAGATATTTTTATTTAAATAGAGCAAACAATACTTTAGGAAACAAAAAATCATAGAAATGATACTCTAAAGTTATACTAATTAAGGATCAAAGGTATATCATACGTACCTTGGTTATGGTTTGTTTGGTATGGAGGATTTGCAGGGGAGGCGGGGGGGAGAGGAGGGATTTTAATCATTTTTTCTTTTTTGACAAGATAAAAATTTTAGGAGGGTAGGAAAAATTTTGTAACATTTTCCCTCCCCTCCCCTCCCCTCATAAGTCTAGCATCCAAAATTGGAAGAATTTGGAGAAAAAAATGTAATATTTTAGCTTGTGTTGACTAATATGCCTGTATTATTTTCTAATAATCCCATGTTATCCTTTACTGTCGAATTGTATGTGATTTGGTATATTTATGGATTCAATCATGCATCTCTTCCCTCATTTATATGCTATCAAATATTTTAAAAAAAAGTTGCTATCAAATATATTTTAATTTCTAAACGCAAATCGAGCATTCAAAACAAAAATATACAAATAAGTCATTTATGTTGTCTTTGACAAAGTTATTTGACTACTCATATCAACAATGCAAAGAAAAATGAAAGCTGGAAAAACATACTCAAATTAAACATATTTCTTCATTAGACAAGATTTTGGATATAAATACAACTATAGTTATTGAATATATAACAACTATTAATTATGTATTATCATTATATTTATTTAATTTTGGTAATTATAAAAAGTTGATCTCATATATTAAATATTATTTATAATTATATTTTATTAATTACTCTATAAAGTTTGTAAAAATCAACTTAAATAGTATAAGGGCAAAGTTGTCTATACAAAAATATTTTGCCTCCCCTCCATTCCTAAACCAAACAAAGTAACATTAAAATTTTTCCCCTCCCCTCCCTTCGTATTAATCCAAACAAGATAATATTAAAATCCTTTCCATTTCTTTCATCTCCTTTCCTTCCATTAAAATCCCTCCCCTCTCATCCCCTCAATTAAGCCAAACACATCCTTAGAGTTTCATATTGATAACGTGTTATAAATAGAAAAGAAATAGAGAAGAATAATAAAGAAGAAGAGGGGATTAATAAAAGAGTATTTCTCATTCTATTCAAGCATGCTAAATATATGATACATGATCTCTATTTATAGATACAGCTTTATATTTTTGATAAAATCTACAAATTACATAGTAATAGGAGATAATTGTGAGATATAGAGATAATGAGATATATTAGAAATTGTATGAGATATTGGGGATAATAGGAAACATATAGACATTCATAAAGATATTATTATATTCATAAGAAATATGAGTTTACTTCTTTTCTTATTATTTTTGAAGTGTTAGATGCATGAATCGGAATATCATAATTTTAAGGTTCCTTTTCTAGAATTTTCCCTATTCAATATTTGATGATTATCGGATAACTTTTTAATTGTTGGAAATTTTAGGGTTTTAATGAAAAAATTACCTTTTTTTCAATAAAAATATTTTTTAAACGTTTCAAGATATTCATTTAAATTTTTGAAGATAATTATAATGTATAAAATTAAATTCCTGATTATTTTAAACAAGTTATTTTGACTAGTTTAAAAAATAATTAAATATGATAAATAAGAAATTTTTAAAAAAAATAAAAAGAAGTATAAATATATTATAAAATTTACAAACTTAAAAATTACTGAATAATAATTTTTTACAATTATAATCAAATTCAAAATACTCCTTCGGTCTTTAATATAAGGTCTATTTAATTAACTTGATTAGATTAAGAAAATTAAATAAGCTAGTTAATTATAAGAAATACGACATGTTTTTTCTAAAATACCATAATCATTTTTTTTAATATCTTCCCTCCTTCACTTACTTGATTATGGTTGATGGAGTATTTATAGAGATAATTTAGAAAAATTGATAAATATGAGAAATATGTCTTATATTTAGAATCAAAATTAACTTAATAATTAGGTCATACTACCTCCGGTCCTTAATATAAGACCCTGTTTGACTTTTATTTTGGTCCTAAATATAAGACCCCAATCCATTTTGTCTCTCATATTTATACATTTTTTTCCAAAGTAGCCCTTCTAATAATAAGAGTTCTAGTCAATACACTTGATTAGTAAAGATGTTTTAGGAAAGACAACACTTATTTAGGACAAATAACTAACTCAACTGATTTCTTTAATCTTTTCAAATTAATCAACTGGCTTTTATAATTAGGACCGAGGGTAATATATTAAAGATTAGACGAGCAATTTTTAGGTATTATAAAACCTTGAGAAAATAATCTTAAAACATTTTGGTTAAAAAAAAAATCTTAGAACATAGGATTTATGCAAGAAAAACGTAAACGCGGATGAAATTGAATTACATGGATTATTTAAAAAATTAATGCAAATTCGGGAGACTAAAATACAAAGGTTCCCATATAAACAACTTTTCAACTTTTTGTATATGGATCAGTCCAAAAACCTAAAATCCTAATTTTCCCATAAAAAATTAACCTTTTTAACTTCTTTTATAAATTGCGCGGCCCAAAAACAGGTCGCTGGACAGGGGAATCGCAGAAAAGGGTTGCCTCATTCCTCAGTTCGTAAATTCGTGGAGAGACTGAAAGGGGAAGCGGAGTTTTGGCGTCTTCTCCAGCGAGCATCGTGGAGCCTGGAGAGCTTGACTATTGTGTTTCTGTTTCAATGCTTCGCAACCCCGTTCGCTAGTTGATTAGGGCCGAACCACAAATATTATACCTGACTGGACGCCATGGCTCTCCCAATCGGGAAGCTTACCATTCTCGTCGGTGCAGGTTTACTCTATTTTCCTCTTCGTTGTCTATTTCTGTTTTACTGCTGATTCGCTTTTATTTAGAATCTGTCCCGATTTACGGTTTGTCGATGAAACTAGAACTTTGATGGTAATTATTCGGGAGGGTTGTTAATTTTCGTTCATTGGTATCCTGCGACCAATGACAGACTTTGTCGATGTGAAATTTTTCTAAGCCGAGGGATTAATTTAAAGCACCATCTTCGTTTAAGTTTGACTAGCTGAATTTCAGTATTCTACTTTCGTGATGGTGTTGACTTTAAAGAGTAGCTTAGTTAGTGTTTTGTCCATTATTTTTTTATGTTTTGAAGTGGGACTGAGGACTGATGAAAGTTTCAAGTTATAAAACTTCTTTGTGAAACCTTGCATTACATCCTGACATTAAGTCTTGCAACACATATACCGGATTATTTTGTAAATGCGTGAGTTCATTTAAAGCACTTAATTATATGTCTTGGTTCAATTGTTTGAACCTCATTATCCTTTGATGAAATCCTGACTAACTAGTTGAAGTCCTTTTTAGGTATTGTTGGTTCAGTACTTGCCAAAGAAGGGCGAATCCCAGATGTCTCTAGTTTAGTCTCAGGTGCCTTTAAGGTAAATTTCTTTTGGTCATTTTTATTCTGATAGCAAGGCAATAAACACAGCCAGGCATATAACCATTACGTCTGATGAAATATGTAAAATTGTGCATATGCGATAGTAAGGTTTCTTTTATGCTCCCATCTTGCTCATGAGGTTTCCCCTGTTATCTTTTGTTTTTGTTTTCCCCCACTTTCCCGTTTCAAATCTTGAACTGCCTGCATGTGAGACCATTTGAACATTGGTAGAAAAGTTGAGCTCCCAAAAATTAAAAATTAGAAACTGTTGGAGTAATATTCTCTTTGACATAAATCTGAATGTAAATAATTGTCTGTGCTTTTAAGTAGATTAGCGGTAGCCCTAACAGTAAACCCGACAAAAGCATCTGAGTTGTAACGCTAGTAAATGGCTTTAAGCCCCTTCATTCAAGTCAAAATTTGAATAAAGTGACCTGTTGTAGAGGTGTTAATTAGCATACTTGTTTTTAAATAACATAAGATGCTAATGAAAGTTTTCATATTGGGGCTACTGAGTTTTTACTTTATGATCTTGGAAGACTAGAAATATAGTTACGTATTCCTTATAATTGTATTGTGCCTTAAAATATGAAATTTTTTATCGTTCTAGTGGTTTACTTTTTGGTGGTTGGGTGTGACATGATTATGATGTCTAGATGTATTTGCCTTATAATGCTGATTCTAGAATGTTATTTTTTGTGGAACACAGATTTTTTTGAAGGAAAATGGAAGTAATGAGTCTGCTTCAGCTGTTAAAAAGCCACCAAATGATGCTTTGATGGCTCAGGTTTGTATTTGATGTCAATTATTGCATTGATGCTTTGATAACGTTGTTAGAATTATTATGTTAAACCGGACAAATCATTGACTCTCCTGCAATCCCTTGTGTTCGGAGTAAATTACTCAAGTTATGATTATTTGGTGTTCTATAGTACATATGCACAATTAGGATGATTGGGATAGTGACAACGTCCATCTATTAGTTCAGTTTTGGGAGACAAATCTTTGTTGATGCCTGTACTCAGGAGAATCCTACGCTTATGGTTTCAGAATTAAAAGACAATGTGCAAGTCGCTCTTTCATAATTTTAAATTCTTTATTTTTATTCGTACTTAAGTATAAACTGCACAGTTCCTTGTTTAATGCACAAAAAGAGCATGCTTAAGAGCCAATTTTGCTATGTCCACATTTTGGTTAAAAGCACAATGGCAACACATTATAACTTGATCTGTAAGTATTTTTGTTTAATAATTATTTTATCTTCTCAACCTTCTTGCTATATGCAATCACGTTAAGTTAATTACTTGCACTGTATTCAGAACCCTCATCATGTTTCAAGCAGGTCTTAGAAACTTGCTGGATGCCACTGTCTTCTATTTCTTTTGTAGAAATATACTATTGCAATTAGGGGCATGTATGGGAAGGACGGGGCTGGGGATTGACCTAGCCCATGAATTGGTTTGGTGATTTCCGGCAGGTTTTGTCATGGGCCTAACCTTGTGGCATCAACTGTTTGCCATGTTCCTTCACTAGTGTTGGTGAAGTCAAGACGAGGAAGAGGAAGGAGGTTGAGAAGAAATATGAAGATAATCTGATGGAACCCGAGCTCAAATATTAACTAAGACCATCAGAATCTAAGAGTCATATCACACATCTAAGAATTAAAAAAAAAAAATCAAAATAGACAAAATCATATTACAAAATAAAAAAATACTGAAAATCGTATCACAAAATCTTGAGAATATAATAATTTACAATAGAACAGGTCTGAGAGAAATGAGAAGATTCTGGATAAGAAGGAGATTGGTGCCGTCAAATGTCATTCCTTGTGTAACAGTGATAGCACCAGTAGGAGGCTATATGCTGCCATTGAAGAAAGATGGTGGTATGTGAAGGCGGTTGAACATAGAGAGAAGGAAGAAGATTTTGGAGAAGATAAGAAAGAGATGCCATTGAACATTCTGATGAAGATAAAGAGATGCCATTGAATATTTTGAAAAGAGAAAGGGACACCAGTGAACTGCTTAAGACTGTATATCAAGTGTCAACCTAAAAATTTTTTAATATAGACTGTTCTGGGTTACCTGAACCCATTGGTTAAACTCAACCTGCAAGCCTAATAGTAGATGTTGGGCTGGGCTTGGTTCCAAGCCTATCAGGTCATGCACGCTCCTATGTAGTATAGTCGCAGATGACATTGCCAAACTTATGCTTAGTGGTTGCATATAGCAACATCCTATTCATAGCTTCGTAAGTTTGAAGTACGTCAAATTGTATACGGTTTTTGCACTATTAGCGAAGTGTTTATCCTCACTTTCTGATTCATTTAAAAGGATATCATTTTTGCTTTCTGAAAGTGTTAAAAACTGTTTTCTCAAATATTAGTCTTAAAAACAAACTTTTTTGATAAATACACAGTTGTATGAGTGTCTGCTAATGCCTATACAATAACAATCATACTTTAGCAATTTTCTTGGAAGCTTGTAAAATATTGAAAATACTGATGAAACTTTGAATTTACAGGTTAGCAGCCTTCGTCAGGAATTGCAACTTCTTGCTAGAGATAGAACAATCACCATTGTAAATGCCAGTGGATCAGTTTCTGGTTATTCGCCTTCTTTCACACATTAATGGACTGTTTTGTTTCTGTTTAATTGTTACTAGTTCAGGCCATTTTATTACATTATCACAGCTCTTTTGCAACATTTGGACAAAAATAGGTTTAATTACAGGGTCTTTGCTATCCTGAAATTATATTTTATTTTTCTTTTCTTTTCAATAGTTTGCAGTATCTGCTGACTGGCTTTTGAAATGCTCAGGTGCAGGAAAATATGGTACAGTAATTATTATTGTGGTGGTGGGATATGGCTACATTTGGTGGAAGGTAAGAATATGCTTTTCCTTTTTTGGTTGGCAGAATCATCAATTTAGCTTACAAGCACGTTTTGTGCTATGGCTCGGTAGTTTCTATGTATGCTGAGTATATTATATTTAAATTGTACATGTAAGGTGGTTGAACTCTATTAATCCGTAGGTATTAATTTGTTTGCAACTTTCTCTTTTAATGTTGAGATTTGGTCAAATGATAGTTGTGGCTGACTGCATGTATTTTGTGATTTCTCCCTAAATGGTTGGAACAGTCTAATGTAAAATGTGACATAGCGTAATTGCAATTATAGTAGGCTTTCTTGTCTCGTGTTGAGCTCTAGTAATGTTTTTGCCAAATATTTTGACATAATGTGTCACTAATGAGATTGAATTGATGGGTGTGTTTGGGTATAATTTATACCAAATTGGATGGTAAAACAATCGGGTGTTTGGAATGTTTTAAATGTATAAAACTACCTTCCTATCTGGAATTCTGTTATGTACAGTTCTTTGCCAGTAGGTTTTACAAATGTTTGCACCTTCCCGTTGGTTGAGTTATATGGCTGTTGCATTTTTTCAGGGATGGAAACTTCCTGATTTGATGTTTGCAACAAGGCGTAGTTTATCTGATGCTAGCACAAGTATAGGCAATCAGCTGGGGAAGGTTTATGAATCAATTGAGGTAGGCCTTTTTATTCTATTTTCTATAGGCTGCCCCTCTTAGTTTGTTGCAAAACTATTAGTTTCTTTCAATGGTGAGATTAAATGATTACTTACTATTGGAAAAGAAATTAAATGATTGCTCGGTGTATTGATCTTGATCATGTGGATTTTTCCTTTGATAGTGTCATTGCGTACCTGCATTTGTCAATTTTATTGTGATGATAGGATTTGCTAGGAAGGTTCATTATTGAACCTGAGGCATTATCATATTTGAAATCATGTCAATGAAGACTTAGATGAAATATACACAATAGTGTTGCACTTCTATGGATGAAATATACACAATAGCGTTGCACTTTTATGCTTTGGAATACCTGAGAATGGCTATTCACTTATTTGCAATGGTTTCAGGAGGCCAAGAAGAAGTTATCTGCAAGAATAAATCGCCTGGATAGCAGTCTAGATGAGTGTGCTGCTCTAACTGAAAATACAAGGGTGGAGGTAAGTAAAAAATTTGGAAGTTGTGGACTTATGGTTTTAGCTTATTGGTCATTGATAATTGAGTATATTTTATTGTAGATCTCTGAAATACAACGGGAAACAGATACTATATGTGGGGATTTTTCACATGTTCGCGTTGCCGTCCGTGTTCTGGTGATTCAATTATAACGATTTCTTTTTCTTTTGTTTTCTTCCCTTTTTTGTGTTTCTTGCTGGCTGTGTAATTATCTAATTTCTTCTTTTGCTTCTCAGGAATCTAAAATAAAAGAAATAGAAGGGAAGCAGGTATTATCATATTACATATTAATTTTTTGAATTAGTACGTGAATTTTCTCTTGTTTGTATTTAATAGGAATGATATTATACAAGATTGACGATTACAATTTAATAATTATTTTCTATCTTCTTTAGGCATCCACAACCGACAGAGTAACTGAATTGTGTCAATTTGCCATGAAATTGGAGAATGGCAAACCCACAGAGCGCATTCAGGCATGGGCTGAATGATCTTTATGAATGGATTATCTTTGTTTGGCTTGGCCTCGAAATTTGAATTTTGTTTCTTTATGATGCTAATAATTGAAGTTTTAATTATACAGGCATCTTCCTCCAGTTCTTCCAGGCCAGCTCTTGATTTACCACCTGTTTCACCCAGCTCCAGGGTAAGGATTATGTTTCCGAGGCTAATTAATTATTGCATATTTGCATTCATGCTCTCTATAAGACTGTTGGAAATTAGTAAACTCTTTGCTTGCAAGTTTTGCTAAAATTAATGGCACACTTGGTAGCTGAAGAACATGTTCATTACATTAAGTTTGCTTGATATAACCATTTATAGGCGTTTTTTGAAAGAACTTTGTTACCTGGTTTTTACAGGTATTACCATCAAGTTCTTTAAGGCTATCTTTAGAGCAACCATCTGTCACACCCTTATCAAGGGTAATTTTTATTGTAGTCCTAGACTTTGATCTGCAAAAGATATCTAAGAATTATAATTATAATTCATATTAGTACAGCTAGGTACCATGATTTACTGGAAATCTGGTATTTTCATTCTATATGGTTGATGGGTAGTGCAATTTAGAATCTTACAATCACATCTGAAAGCTAGATCTCAGTCAAACCCCATTGAGCAGGAGCTGCAAAAGAAAGTTTTTTCCCTACTTCATTTTAAATCTTTTCTTTTGGATATCATGACATGCTCAGCTGCATCAATTTGGTTAGAGCATTATGTGCCAACTGCCTCCCCATCAAACTGCCCCCCAAGGGACCTTTTTTTTTCTTTTTTTTAATTTTAAATTCCCCCAATTATCATCCAAACTATGAGTAAATTTATGTTTATTTAGTGTTTGCTGCCATTATTACGAATTTATTTCACTATCTGCTTTTGTAGCCGGTTATTAGTTATTGATTTTCATCTTTTACAAAGGACCATGTACTTCAACAGACTGGGTCCTTGCCTCCAAATTTGTCAACCGATCCAATATCTCCCTCATATTCTGCGGGACGATGCCAGGTTTTGAGCCTTTTGACTTACTGGACTTGGCTGTGTTTTGGGACAGTTCTTGTTCATTATTGTTGAATAATCTTATTACTTCCTGTCCTTAATATAAGAGCTAGTTTAGCTTTTAATTTGGTCATAAATATGAAACTACAATTCATTTTGTTTTTCATATTTATCTATCTTTTTCAAAATAGTCCTTGTAGTAGTTGTCTATATTAAAAGTTCCATCAAGTAATAGTTTTAGTTAGTACATCTGAAAAACAAGGGTATTTTAGGAAAGACAACATCTATTTATTACAAATAAATAACTTACTTGATTTCCTTAATCTCGCTAAATTAGTCAACTAGGTCTTATATTAAGGATTAGAAGTAGTATTTAGAAACTTCCTATCCCATGTTTAGTTTATCGCCCATGTTTTTGCTAGATAAACAGCTCTTTCATACCACTTGTGGCTTTGGTCTCAAGTGTCTTTCTGGGAATAATTACAATTTCTCTTCCCTTAAATCTTTTATTGCTCCACTGCTATCAGAAGAGTGCTGTCCTTGAAATGTCTGGAGTGTCATTCCTTGCTTTCATATTTTTGAAATATTTCATTTATGAATCTTCCTTTCAGGAGAGCAATGGAATTTCAGACGCAATTAATTCCCCTAGCAGTGCTGCGGGTTCTAATGGGATCCTTCCTAAAGAGGACAAAGCCCCTGTTGGTTCAGGTTATGGCTTGCTTGGGCGATTTCTTACAAGAACGCGTAGTGCTACAGATTCAGCATCACAATTTACTCGTTCCAATGCTTAATAACCCTGGTTTTCTTCTAAGTTGGTCAATACCAATATATCCTGTAGACCAATGGACCTTGCCCTGGGTGGAATGTCTCCGCCAATTGGTGAGGTTTCTCAGAGGTTTCCTATTTAGGTTCTGCCCATTAAGGTCTGATAAAAAATGACTGGGCAGTGATTTTTGTAGAGAATTCATAATTTACTGTTTTAGTTGGATTAAATTAAAATCATTAGTTAGTCGGATACTTGTTGGTGACTTTTGGAAGAGCAACGGAAGATTAAGTGGCCGTTGAACTGTTACAGACTCGTTTATTCACCATACCCATTATCAATAGAGTGCAAGTTTGAACGAACTGTTTGGAGGGTTCCCCACCATTTTGGTTATATATATTCTGAATCTACTTTTTAGGTACGGGCTGGGATAAACCTGCTAAAAAGTCCCATTGTAATGGGCATGTGCTGTTGTTATCTAGCAGTTATGCAATAAAGTAATCCATCTTTGGATCCCTGTTTACTAGTAGTGGTCACTGTTAAATAAGTTTTGAATTTTATATCAATGTCCAAATGTCTTATCTTCTTTTCCCTGTAATTCCAGTTTTATTTGCAATACATTTCGCAACTAGTCTCAATTGACACCAGTTATGTATTGTGTTTAGCAACACTTTGCTGCATCTATGATTCGCAGTGTAATAATTGAGTGACACGTTTGGAAGATTTGTGTTAACGAGTGTTTAGACTGGCAGGTCAATCGGCTTATGTGTTGAACACAAAAGCAAAAAGGTAGCTTTTGAGTGTTGCATTGAAGTTAATGATATGTGGGGTGGCGTTGCTAAAATAGTGCTGAGATGTGCTCGGAATTTAAACGTAATAATGTGTTTTTGTAACATTACATTTAGTATAGGTGGTTTGTCATATTTTTTTGTGCAATTGTTTTAATTAGTATGCACCTCGATGATTGTAGGGAGCTATGAGCCTGAAAATCACTATTTTATTATTTACTATTCAAATCACTTAATTTACTCACGAGGGTTGTCTTCCATGGAGTTTATGAAAATTGTTTTTTTTAAAAAAAAAAAATTTTCATGAGGACATTTTCCACATACGATCTTAAGTAGAGGTGTAGAAGGATTGGCCTAATTAATTCAAGCGAAGACTAACAAAGGAGAGTTTAACACGAAAGAAAATGACACAGGGGCCTCCTGAGGTTTATGACGACGGAGAAGGACCATGAATTTATAAAATGGCATATGAAAGTTCACGATAAAGATTTTTCAAGAAATGAAGTACTATAGATCAAATTGTCCTGACTCAATTTTTTTTTTGGCCAAAATGTTCTAACTCAATTGGGAACAAATAAATTGCTAAAAATCAAAAGGCTTTTTACTGGTCGGATTATAATTTTTTTTTTAAAAAACAAACATGACAATTAAGAACTTGTTAAGTTATCATTTCAACTATAGATTTTCAATTATTGAAAATTCATTTAAAGATTACTGGGAGACAACTCTATTCCAGTGAACCACCTGCTTTTTTTAAGTGATTTGGTTGAACTTGACAGGTGATGACTTCAGTAGTTTTATTCACAATTTATGAAATTGTTTTTATTTTTGTCATAACTAGAATACTTTTGTAAGACATTTAAGCCTAACTAAGATATGTGAAAAAATGTTGCCATAACTAGGATACTTTTGTAAGACATTTAAGCCTAAGATATGTGTAAAAATGTTGTCATAACTAGAATACTTTCGTAAGAAATTTAAGCCTAACTAAGATATGTGAAAAAATGTTAGAAGAGTATAAACATAATTACATAGAGGCTAATAACATAGATGGGAAATATTTGAAACAATAAAAAAAAAGTGCAAGAAATTCACAAAGAAGGGTAAACCACTAAACCCACACCATTTATGGCTTGGCAAGAATGCCACTCCTTTTAAATTTGTGTATCATAACAATCGAGGCTTTTCCTTGAAATTTTGGCTGTTCGATTATTAAGGCAGTATATTGTATATGCTGTCAGATGAGTATGCATTGTGCCTATTCAGTTTTTATTTTTAATTTTTATACAAATTTAGTTTATATAAATGGTAAAAAAAAAAACAAAAAGAAAAGCTAGGTACGCAATCCATTAAAAAAGAAATTTTTTTGGGTTCAAAATCTTAATATATACTGAATAACAAATTATAAAATATAACAAATTAGTACGAGAAAATCTGATATAAAGCTGACTTAAATGGAATTTCAAATGAAGTTGAACAATTTAACAAACCCTAATTCGTCCATAGGCTTAATTTGAGGTTCGTGAATGTTGGATGATTTACCATATTGTTCCTCACTTACACCTATGGCTAGAGCTCCAGTGACAAACTGTGACTAGAACTCTGCTGACAACTGACAACTTTATCACAGTAAGTTTTGTTATGAATAGCTAATGAAAACTTATGAATTGCAAAATTGGATTTTGTTTATTTTTGAGGCTGTCTTATGATTAGATAATAATAAAGGTTTTATTGAAGAGGGCAATTTTATTGCGAAAGTTTTGTTGTGATAAACTAATAAGGAATTATGAATTACTAAAGTGAACTTGTTAACTTCTGTGTCTACCTTGTGATTCAATTAACAAATCCAAATTCCTATTAGCTATTCACACAACAAAACTTTTACAATAAAATTGCACCCTTTAATAAACCTTCGTTGTTATTCGATCACAAGAAAGACTCATAGATTTACAAGTTTAATTTAGCAACTCGTTAGTTCTCATTAACTATTCAGAAGAATATTTTTGCAATAAAGTTGGCATCTTTAATAAACATATGTTGTTATTCAACCACAAGATAGGTTTAGAAATAAACAAATTTTATTTAATGATTAAAAACAAAAATCTTGCAATAAAATTATCTCCAGAGCTTCAGCCACCGTCGTTGCCAGAGTTCAGCCGCGGGTAACAAGAAGATGGTCCTCCTCCGCTTGGGTAAGCTTTGGTACGATCCAGGTGGATGAGGAACCTGTGGTGGTTTTCGTCCTGCATCATTCATATATATTTACTGATTAAATTAATAGAGGAATATGAATCAAGTCCCTGATTACAGAAACCAGCAGGTGGTTGCTAAAAAGGCGATGAGTAACAACAGCATTATTGGCAGAATAGAAGGAAATGACGACAAGATTATGATTGCGTAATTATTGTGGAATTACTTGGACAGCTAATATTTATATTTCCCTTTTGAAATATTCAAAGTTGTTGAATTATAAAATAGGGAGAATCTCATTTAAATCCAGTTGAAATACTAAGATCTAAAATTAGGCCTACAATTTGAACAAATCCCTAATTAGGCCACCTTTTAGGGATTTATGAATGTTGTTAAAAGTCTAGAATACCCCTCTACAATTATAATATAAGTTGTTACCTATATATTTTTCTTCCCCACAAATTCTTTTCTTAAAAATTTTTTTTGCCAAATTTTTCAAATTTTGAAAATAGTAAATCTTTAATAGATGACAGTAAATTACAACACAGTCCTTGATTCATATTAATGATTAATCTAGCACCATTATCAATATAACAGCATAGGTACTGATAGATTTTAATTTTGGATGGATTTAATTTCTACTTAGTTTTAATATTGATCCATCCTCCGTATACTTCATAATACACACAAATATATTTTTTTTTTAACTCATACATTTTTTCAAATAGAACACACACATATATTTTAAGGGTAAAAAACTTATTCAGACAATAAGTTTTTCTACAAATTTTGGATTGATGACAATATTATAATTTATTATTTTCATATTTTTGGAAAAAAATTTATAGGAGAAAAATATATAAGTATCAGCTCATATTTTAATTATAGAAGGACATTTTGGTCTTTTTAATAATATTCATAAATCTCTAATTAGAAATTAATTCAAAATGGAGGCCTGATTTTGAATTTCAATATTTCAAGTGGATTTAAACATGATTCTCCCTATGAAATATATTTGATATTTTAAATATTGTTTATCAGGGAATAATTACATTTGTTGAGGAGTAGTGGCTCAATTTAATGCTCATATTGCCGGTTCGATTCGCTCCTGTAAATGTTTTATTCACATATGATGTTGTAAGCAGGGCCTATCCTGCCCAGTCTTTTTTTCTTTTTTTCTTTGGTCCAAAAGATGTCATTTATAAAAGATTGAAGAACATCAACCTACACCAGCTCTAACAGTACCTAGACATGAGTTCAACAATTCTGACTCCAAAATCTTAACTAGAGGGACTGGGGGGAAGGGGACCAACCACACCAAGACAGACCCTTTACAGACTCTTTAGCTAACCAATCAGCAGCTAAATTTCCAGAACGAGGAATATATGATAAGGAAATATTGGCATTGGACTTGAAAACTGCCGCAAGCTCATCTACCAAAATACTTGCTTGCCAATCTTGACAAAAACTCTGATTTTTTACAACATCTACCAGCGCTTTACAATCTGACTCCACATGAATTTTTCCCAAGTCTGCTTCTGCTATGCTTTTTACTGCCTCTATAAGAGCCATTGCTTTTGCAAAAAAAGGTGAAATTGCTGTACACTTCCTGGCACATGCGTTTACCACCTGCCCTGCATCATTTCTCAAGACAAAACCAAAACCACTATCCTTATTAGTTTCAGAAAAAGCGCCATCCACATTGAGCTTTTCGGGGATAAATCCCAAGCTTGTGAAATTGAAACAGAAACAGAGGGGGTATCATCAGCTACAAACCACTCTTTTGTTGTCCAAAGATCATTAACAGCTTTAGTGGCAGAACCGAGAACCCAAGTCAAGTCAAAAGTACAACGCTCATATAGATCCATACATCTATTTTTCCAGATATACCACAAGATATAAACTAGCAAAGCTTGAGCATAACCATCATTCTTTAGCTTAGACATAATCATAATGAACCAATCCATAAAAGAATGGATATTAGAGTCAGACATTATCAAGCCTAAAGGACTCACAAACCACAGCCTTTTTACCCAATCACACAGCAAAAGAAGGTGCACAACAGATTCACTCTTTTCACAACATTTAAAACAGCAAGGGGATTAGTGCATTGCATTATGGCAGACCCTCCAAATAAAAGATTTTATTTTTGGTTGTACTTTGAGATTCCAAATTAAGTTCCAAACTCCCTTATCATTCAAATTGGACGAACTAGGCCCCTCTGGATTGTTTAATCCTTTAGCTTTGAGGTACATGTATCCCAATTTAACAGTATAAAGTCTATTAAAATTCTGGATCCAATGAACTCTATCTTGAATGCCTTGCCCTGGGATCACAACTTCAAGAATTGCATGTTTCACTATATCAGGAAGATCTAACTCTCTTATCTCCCATCTCTCCCTAATGAAGTTAGCAACCATTCCTAAGACTCCTTGTTTAGGAACCAGATGTTCAGGAATCCTACTAGAGGGGAGTAAAGGAATCCAATTATCTCTCCAGAAGTCAACACGAGTACCAGTTCCTATCTGCCAAAGGATATTATTTTCCA